TGTCCTTATCTAGATTACTTTCCCATTTGTTTGTCTGTCCTTTCTTTACGCCTTTCAAGATGCAATGACCAGAGTGTGCAGTGGTCTGAAATTCCATCCTTAGTTCTGTCCTTTTCTACAGTGTCCTTAGAGGATCTATGCCATTTCTCAGGACAACGTCTTTATGACAAGTCATCTATCAATGTCATGACTTTCTCTACCCTATTCATAGTGACCTAGTTTCAGGAGCTCCTTACTGCTTGCTGTAAAAAACTTAACAGAATTATACCCCCACTAAGGTCTTCTATATCTGGGTAAATAGAAATCCTGTTTTCCCTGCCACTTTATAATTAATGGATCCATGACAAAAAGATAACCCCTGTCCTTCAACTCTCTCTGCCCCATGACAGCCATCTGTTTGTCTGTGTGTATGTGGGATGGTGTTTGTAATCGACTTTTAGGTCTCCGGAGGGTCTTGAAGAGTCATTATGGCACACCGAATCCCACACAAGGGTCCTGGTAGTTTACACACTTCTCTCCAGGCATCATATTCCGTGTCGTACTCCAGCACATTTGTTGTACACACCTCCTGTCCTTCCTGCCATTTTCTCCCTCCGAACATAAGCACACGTCTGCTCCCTGTTGCGGTCAAACCATAGCAGAAGCGGTCATTCAGTAGGGGCTTTAGACGGGTCCACAGGTCTTGCTCAGGACTGTAGCGTTCAATGTCACAGAAGGGCTCATACATTCCCAAAAAGGTGTAAATTCTTCCCCTCACTGTTGCCATCTGGTGGCCAAATCTGGCAATGGACATGTTAGAACGTCTCTGCCAGGCATACCCTTTAACGGCATTCAGAAACAGCACTTCTTTGCTACTCTCTGGGTTGTTGACGTGGATGCCGCCTGAGATGTAGATTCCTGTTCCAATAGTGGCGCAGGCATGCCCATAAACTGAATACAGTAGGGATACGCCACTGCGCCAGCACCCTTCCCTCATATTGTACCTTTCCACAGATGACAAAACAGGCTCACCCCTCTGGCCCCGTCCACCGATAGCAAATATAACACTTTCCACCACACAGCAGGCAAACTGTGCCCTCTTCTGCAAGAGTGGCTCCATCTCCTCCCACTGCTCAAACCGTGGGTCATAGCGCCACACCTGGTCAGTCACAGTCATCACAGCACTCTTCTCGTTGTCCTCATCCACATGCACCACCTCACCACCTAGTACGAAAAGGAAGTTCCCAACAACACATACTCCCTGGTGCTGTAGCTTATTTGGCAGGGATGTCGAGAGCGGCTGGAATTTCTTACTGCGAGGTTCGTAGGTTAGGATCTGATTCTGGGGCCTGTTTGCCTCTGGTCCTCCTCCCACCAGAAGAATCTTGCTCTTTGTGACTCTTAGGCTGGTGTGGACACTTTGTAGTAGAGGCTGGAGGGGACCCTGAAGGTGGTAGTTAAGTGCTTTCTGCACTACACTGCGGATGAAGGGTGTACATAGAGCAGGTTTAAGTGCACTGAGTTGAGACAGCTCTTTAGGTGGAATCAAACCAAATCGGATCCGACTGAGCAATGCATTACTTTGCAAGGCAGATTGTGGGTTGCACTCTAGCCAATCCAAAACCAGCTGCAGAAGGTCTATCTCCTTCACTCCCGGCATCTCCTCAGCTACGAGCACCTCTTGCAGAGAACCAATGTTTACCTCCATTAGCTCAGCCTTGTATTCCTCAGATGTAAGTATTCTGCACATGTTACTGCCAATAAAAGAGTTGCTGTCATCGAATGCTTCAGAAAGGCCGTAGCGAGCTGCTATGTTCGCAAAAAAGCAGCAGTTGTCAGGAGCAATGCTTTCGGAGATGTACCGAGTGCAAAGATCCACAGCATGGGTGATCTGTAGATAGCAGGCAGCCTGTAGTGTGACCTCCAAAGTGGAGGGTGACAGTGAGATCCATGAGGTGTAGATGAAGTCCAGTATTTGCTCCAGGCCCAGAGATGACAAGGCTGGCAAGCTGATAGTACGGGCACCGGATTCCAGAGTGTAGTCCTGAAACACGGACCAAAAGTAGTCGCTGGAACAGGCTAACAAACTGCGATGAGCAGGGAACTCCACACCTTCTGCCTCCAAAACAACATCACACATTCGACCCTCCAGACGCAAGCTCTGGTACCGAGACAAAACACCTTCTCCATGACTGTTGCTGAGCATCAGGTAGTAATTCATCACTAGGAGAGGAAGGGAGAGAGATAAGGGAGTCCAGGGAATTTAGGACTGAATGAAAGTAAGACAAAGCACAAAAGGAAGAGGAAAGAAAGAGAAGGTTAAGTCGACTTCCTCCTGCAAAAGTTGTCGAGATTAAAGAAGACAGAAGAAAATAAAAAGGTCAGTACACCATCCGCGTCTGTTGGGATGTGGTCCATGACTTCTGCTGGCATCAAATGCGTAAGTGCAAAGGGGAGGGTCAACCATTTCTCCTCCACCCAGTGGGCAGACAAACCTTTTGCCTCAACAAGATGTGCCTCAGAGGCATGTGTTTTCTACCAGATCTCTAGAAGGGAGGGCAGACATTTTGGGGCCACGGGGGGTAAACACAACTTCGAGCTAGTTGCCCTTTCCATTTAGCTAGATGGGAACACAGAGCAGGAGGGATCAGGCTGGGGGTTTATTATGATATGCAGATCTGAGGTCATCTCTTGATAAATAAGGGAGTTAGTCAGCACTGTGGATTTCTGTCTGTTGCCACCAGAAGTCATATCTCACCAAGGTGACAGGAATAGAAACTCAGTTGATCAGAGGGACAGTCAGGACACAGTCTATAGCCAGAAAAGAGAAATGAGAATGAGAATCTTGCCTAGAGGACAATGAGAACGACTGGAAGATTATTCAGTCAGGAAGACACAAAGACAAATAAATAAAGATTGTTTACAATCACTGAAGAGTGAGGTTGATTTATAGACTTGTAGTGTGTAAGTGTGATTCACAGAGAAAAGGACACATCCCAACCTCGTGAACATCATACCCTTCATCCTCCCTGAATAGCTGCTGGCTCAGAGCTGGGATAGGGCAGCATCAGGCTAGATTGTGGGGAGGGGGTATTAAACATAAGAGCGAGGGGTGATTATGATAGAGCTTTTGGTTACATTCTCACACCCTCTGCTCATGATCGCACTGGTTTCTCCACTGTTTAGAGCATTTGCAATACAACACATCTACGAGGTAATTGGTAACTGGAGATACTTGTGAATGCATTCGCACTCAAGTGCAACTGCAACGGGTCATGATGAATCATAGAGGGGCGTGCTTGTGTGTGTGCTACTTGTGTCTCAAGGAAGTGATTTTGTAGACTCACTGTTTGTACTGCCAAATCCTGTGCTCACCTTACAACCCCTTTGGATTCTCGCTTTAAAACAAGTAATTGGCCTTTTAGGGACCTTTACATGTCTTTCCACTCAAGCTCATTGTGCATCGGTGGATATATTTAAACGCACATTACAATTCGTCAACAAAACCAGACTCCACTTCATTGCATGCATGCTTGAATATCTTTTGCAGGATCATGCACTCTTCTGTCACTACAAAATCTATATTTACTATTTATGATGAACAATTTCACATCTGATGGGTGCATTTAATTGCAGATACAACTGATTTATGTGTTCAGTCACTTTCAGACTCTCTGGTCTCCCTGTTTTGACCCATCAGTCCAGAATGCTGTCAGACCTGAGTGGCGTTCTAAATATAACAGTGTCTGTTCTTCCTGTTATGGGTTTTGTTTGGCTCTGGTGGTCATGGTGAACTATTTTGATATTATCTGGTGTACTTAAGGCTTACAGGTGAGAAATTCCTTTGAATTAACACACACATTTTATAGATATACAATCTGAAATGTATAATGGAACGCATATGGTAGCAGAGAAGACAACTGTATCAAGAAATCGATGGAAGTTTAGGAATTCTGAGCTTCTCGATTAAAAGGTTTTAGAACTACAGGCTCACTCTGCATTGCATTGTGGGTAATAAGGGAATTATGAAGGCTTTGTTGATTAGTTAGACAGCTGCTCACTCTCTCTGTGTTCCAGGCACCACTGCCAGATGCTTAATCCAAAACAAATTCCATTCCAATTTCACATGATTGATAGGTCCTTTTATATCAATGTACTCACAGTCTCTCATTCTCTCAACCATGAGGTGCACCCTGGGAAGCTTTTCCAACAGGTTTGAATGTATTTCAATGTACACTGGACACTTGTTGGTTGCTTGTCTTTCATTTCATGATCCAATTCACAGCATACATTGTTTCAAAGCAGCCTTACAGAAAATAGAGCCTTACAAATGAAAGAATGTAGACAATTTATCTGAATTATATATGCATGTGTTTCCCAGCTCTCAATGCAGACTGACACTAAGGAGCAATACATGACATGATCTTTAATAAGGACACTTTCACTCAAAGGTCATGACACCTGCTGCTAGTAAACTAGATCATAGAGCAGTACAGACACATATGATGTGATTTACAAGTGAGGAGACAAGCAGCTTTACACTGTTAAACTGATCCCAGTTTATGTACATAAACCGATGGTGCGGCATTTGAAATCCAGTTCTATTTGTTCAAGGATAACAAGTGCTGGCTTCCTCCTACGGGTTTGCTCTTGGAGAGAACGTGAAATCATGTTTTATTATGCAACAGCCTACTTATGTACTGCAACACAAGAACAAAGCCATAGATAAAGAAAGAGATGTGTAGGTAGTGAAAACAAGCCTGCAGCATGAGGCATTTTAAGTAGGGCTGTCAATCGGAGGAAACTTAATCAAATTAAATGCATGACATTCTGACTAATCAAATTTATAGCAATTATTTGCATATTAATCTTCTAGACATAAAATACATTAAAATAAAATTGATTTTATGGTGTCACATTTGTTCGAGATGTTTTAAGACACAATCTGGCTTTTTTAAAGGAGAATGGAGGAATTTTAAGATGAATCATACTAGCTAATGTCTTCAGTCTCATATATTCTGTTTTATGATTAATTGATGGTAGTAGGAGAATACAGAACATCTATAAAATCAAACTTTAAAGGGATAGTTTACTCGTGAGGGAGAGTAAATTATGACAGAATATGCATTTTTGGGTGAACTATCCCTTTAAGTTAAACACACAGTACATTTTAAAACAAAATGCAGAATAGCATACAGGGAGGTTTAAAAAGTGGTGACCTATTTTAGACAGACTAAACCCTGGTTCAGAGCTTCGAGTTGCTCAATTCCCATCAGTCTTTGCTCTGATAGAATCCACCCCTTCAATTATTCTTGGGTCAGTAGGTAGTGTCATCATTAAGGCTTGTCATTGATTCCTTTGCGACCAATTCTCTGGGAGTTGTGGTAAATACATGAACCTGATTGGATGGAGATAGTAACCAAAGCCTTGGATAAAATGGGGGTGGAGTCACCTGTGAAAATGAGAAGAACTAGTTAAATGGGTTCACTGGCATTAAAAACATGTGTAATCTCAAGGTAGTTTGCTTAGCAAATTCTGTTTGTATTTCTGCGGAGTGGGTCACAGAGCATGTTTTGCTCTATAATTGGGAGGTCTGGTGAGGCATGCTGGGACTGCACACAACAGACAGACTTTCACTGCCCCGCTGATCTGTGGGGTATTTATAGAGTCTAATTCATGCTCATACCCCTTTACACACTCCAGCACTGACATATGCACACTAACACATGTACAAACTACTTTTACAGCTGCTGACACCATGTGGTCATTTGTGTGAACAGCATGGAGCCTTTCTAGATGATTTCAGTGATGACGCAAATGATTGCTCTTTTGTTCCTGCTCCTATTTGTGTGTGTGTGTACATAAGATTGACAACCACCAAGTTTTTTGACTAACCAAAAATGGTAGACGGGAAAAAATGGGTGTGAGAGTGTGTATTTGACTGTCAGATTTACCTGTGTTGTTTAGTCCTTGGTGACCCATCTGAGTTCACTCTTTACGTTCTGGAGCTCGGAAAGGTCGACGGTGGGGCCCGGTAGTTTCACAGCACCAGGCAGGGCCTTTTTCTCCTCTGGAGTCACTGGGGATGCCTATGAAACCAATTGTGAGAGATGTTACTGAGTGGCCCTCACAAAATCTCTCAAAAATGTGTCATATTTTACTCACAAAATAAAAAGAAGGAATAAACTTCATTTTAAATAAATAAGATTAACAAATGAAAAAAAGCTTATTTCAGAAGCACGGTGTGATATCAATATTGTTCCCCTTCAGGAACTCGAGCTGCGTCGAAGTCGCTTTGGGGAACGCCCTTGCATGACCGCGTTCTGAAGCACGTGTCAAATCAGTCCAATGGAGTAGCGAGACGTCACGAGTGGGGTGACGTAAGCACCAGAAAGTATAAAAGCGCATCCGGCAGAGCGCAAACCAGCTTCTGCTCTTCAGTAGCGCTCTGTGTATGTGTCTGTCTATTTACTGTTGTCTGTCCGCACAAGCATATACAGGTGCATCTCAATAAATTAGAATGTCATGGAAAAGTTCATTTATTTCAGTAATTCAAATCAAATTGTGAAACTCGTGTATTAAATAAATTCAATGCACACAGACTGAAGTAGTTTAAGTCTTTGGTTCTTTTAATTGTGATGATTTTGGCTCACATTTAACAAAAACCCACCAATTCACTATCTCAACAAAGGCTTTCAACTTGGGTGTGGCCTTGCAGGACATTTGTGCTGCGGCGGGCTGGTCCTCTCCGCACACTTTTGTCCATTTTTACAACCTAGACCTGGCATCTACCCCAGGTTCCCAAGTTCTCTCTTCGTGATGTGCTCGCAAGATACACACACAGGCAGGGACTTGGTAGTATGGCACAGTGGGTATTCTCGTTCCCAAAGCGACTTCGACGCAGCTCGAGTTCCTGAAGGGGAACCTCTCTAGGTTACGTATGTAACCATGGTTCCCCGAGGGAACGAGACGCTGCGTCTCTTTGCCATACTCCCTGCATCCCTCCAGGCACTACTTCATCGAAGCTGGTTTGCGCTTTGCCGGATGCGCTTTTATACTTTCTGGTGCTTACGTCACCCCGCTCGTGACGTCTCGCTACTCCATTGGACTGATTTGACACGTGCTTCAGAACGCGGTCACGCAAGTAAAGCAGATCAAGTAAAGCAGATTATCGTAAAGCAGATCTAAGCATATTTCTTATTACTAAATATAAGAAAGGCATATTTAAATAGTTTATAGTACTTGTCATTTAAATAAACATTGTAAGAATCATTATTAGGAATAATGTAGATCTGATAAATAATATCAATTCTATTACAGAATTGGATATGTTCATGTTGAAAAATTTGATAAATAAATAAATATATATGTGTGCGCGCGTGTGTGTGTGTATATTTATATTTATTTATTTTTTACTTACATTTATATGTGATCTGGTTACATGATTACAATTGTCTCTATGTGTGTCTAATTTGTTTATTTATAAAATGGTGTAAATGTGTGTATGTGAGTTTTCTTCGAGCAGTCTGACCTCCTCTGCATCTACTGTATCTTCTCTCCTCTTCACAGGATGTCCCGCCCCAGGACGCAGAGCCCCCATCGGAATATTAAGGTTGGCCTTCGAGACAGACAAGAAAATCCAATGAGACGGTTAACATCGCTGCTACACCTCACAGAGCGCTGAGGTGAAACCACCCCTGACACTGCTCGTTTCCTCCTGCAACTGCGCCTATAATCCAATCACCACAGTACCAAAGTAATTTAAGCTCACGTAATATTGTGCAATGGTCAAGCGTAGTTGTTGAAACCAAACCTTTCCACAAAACCTGCTGGACGTGTCTTCCTGCTGGAGTTTGTATTTCATAAAGAGCAAAGTGCCTGTATGAAAATGAGCTGCGGGCAACACAGATAAAACAGTGAGATGACAGACATCCTTCTGTTTGCTGAGGCCCGACGCAGACAGCCTGTCTTTTTTAGTCTTTATTATGTGGCATCTAAACGCAGCATGTATTACAAAAACTAAGTCCAAATGTGAAAACGTAGGCTAAATGTGTTTACAGCTTTACATTAGAAGGAAAGTATATGGATTGTTGCTACATCTCTTATATATTTCTATTTTCTCAACCATCCTATAATTTTGGTGAATCTCATGAAAGCAGGTCACATTTTACCCCCAAATCAAAAGAAAAGAAATTATATTTTGCAAAAGTAGAATTATTTTAATTTCCCCTAAAGCAGGGGTGCCCAAACTCAGTCCTAGAGGGCCGGTGTCCTGCAGAGTTTAGCTCCAACCCCAATTAACCACACCTGAACCAGCTAATCAAGCTCTTATAGGCATACTAGAAACTTACCTGCAGGTGTGTTGAGGCAAGTTGGAGCTAAACTTTGCAGGACACCGGCCCTCCAGGACCGAGTTTGGGCACCCCTGCCCTAAAGTCATTAAAGGGGTCATATGATGTTGCTAAAAAGAACATTAAGAAAGGAAAACTTGAAATCGCATCATATGACCCCTTTAATACTGTTATCCAACTGTTTTATTTATTAAATAATTATATTTTGTTTATTAAATGTAATACTAATTATAAATATAAAATAATATACTCTAAATATAAATATATAATATAAAATATATTTTCAGCGAAAAGAAAAGAGAATGGTAATTTTGTTGCATTGTGGTAATGAAAATTTGGAGGGGAAAGTGTTTAATTATAATTTAAATAATCTGCAAAATGTACTTTTTATTTCATTCTTTTTTAATTTCCATGTTAATCCGTAAACACTTGTTTTTATCTCTTCTGTTCTGCCTCTTTTTATAAATTATTGTCCTGCTCTTGGACACACAAGGTCAAACACTCAATTTACAATTTTGCAATTTAGTGTTTCGATTAGAGCATGTGACATCTCTCAACCAAAATTTGCCTTTACTCCAGTTTTGCATGTATTTCATGGTCCAGTACATCAAACCCTTGAGTTTCTTCTCTTTTTCACTCTATTTCCTTCTTTCATTTCTCTGGCTTTCCATCTGTATAGGCTGCTGGATGAAATCTGATTGTTGGCTGTTTTAGGCTGTACAGTAGTGACCATGTGCTCCTGTCTTTGCATGCATGACCAGTCTTCCTTCTCTCTGTGCTCTCTGATGGACCGTATCCTGAATCTTGTGTATGCTTGGGCTTTTTATGGATTTATGTGTATATGGAGAGTTTTTATGGAAAGATGAAGGTGTCTATTTTTGGCTGAAGTGTTCAGTGTTTGTAAAAATTGTTCTCTACACTGTGGTGAACTGTTGAAAATCTTTCTTTCTGTCTACGTTATTGCTCCTAGCCAGACGTATAGTTGCAGGGGGAAAAAGTATGTGAACCCTTTGGATTTCTGCATAAATTGGTCATAACATGATCTGATCTTCACCTATGTCACCTCAATATACAAATAAAAAAAGTATACATTTTCATGTCTTTTTTTGAACACAGAGGAATGTTTTATGGAGGTTTACGCTGCCAAAGGACATTTAACCAGATATTAAAACATACTTTTGCCAGTGTGTAAAATAAAAATATGAAAACATATCATTGTTTGCGGTTATTTGTTTAAGCAGACTTCACATTCAGATCACATTTTCACCAATTTATGCAAAACCACAGGTTTTCCCTTCAACTGTATACCGGTTAGCAATAGGAAAACGGCTGTAAGGACTTTAATTAAAGTGTACAAGTCTATTTTTATATCAATTGTTTCTGTTTGGATAAGAAATGTTTTCCTACCAAGAAGAAAAAGCTGGACACACATCAACACCATAATGTATTTCATGTACTTGTGAATGGCCTTGTGTGAGTACTGTAATGCAATGTACATTGAAATGTGTTTTTACTCAGTGTTCAAAATAGGGAACTGGCTTTTCAGATTAAAATATTTAATGTTGACATGTTTGAGTGTTTTTGAGCAAAGAAAAGCACACTGGGAACCATTTGAGTGCCAATAAAATCAATACAGAAGTTTAAAACTCACACTGTACACTATTCTTAAATTACATACGAATAAAAAACACACAATACTCACCTGCAGGGCTTTTACATTGGACGACGGCTGTTTAGACATTCTGTGCAGTTGTGTCCACGTTCCTGCTGTAGAAAAGACAGAAAGAGACCGAATGCATTGATCAGATGGACAGAGCGGCCTGGTGTGGGTTTGAATGCATGTATTTCGTCTGCAGCGATGTGTATGTATGTTACAGAGAGCCGGGGAAAAGTAAAGCCCCCCTGCGGCTCTCAGGTGCCCGTGGATAGTCTTTCAGTTGCTTAGTGACTCCTGCAGTGAGGAGCAGGTAGCAGCTCTTACCCCTGAATCATTTATGTTAACATGGAGAGAACAGGGCTGGGATAACACACACCTACACTCTTTATACTGGATATGAAACATAAAGTGGAATGTCTACTGATATTGTAAATGAATAAATAGCTGCTCATTAATAGCTCAGAGAGACTTGAAAGTGAAAAAATCAGATATGCTTAATTGAAATAGGAATTTTGTCTCCGATGATTCTCCAAACACGTTATAAGATAAATTCAAAGAGAAACAATTAGAGTTTGTACTGAACTTTCATATTTTGGTGTATCTAAGCTTCAGATCATTTTCTTAAAAACAAGATTACTGTATTTTTTTCTTAAGAGAACTATTATAAAAAGAATACAGCTTTAAGCAAAAGTCTTCATTGGGTCTCATTCCTGTCTAGAAGAAAGCCACTGCTATAATTTCACTCATTCATTCATTAATAAATAAATATTCAGATTAATAGTTCAGTCATAGACTCACAAAGTAGCCTCAATGGATATTTATCATTGCCATCATTATTTATTATCAATTAATATTTATCATATGCATTATCAGTATCAATTTTAGTATCATTTGAACATTATGGGATTTATGGTCTGCAAAAAAATGTAAAAACATTAATAGCCTAATTTTGAAAAATCAGAATATCAAATTCTGTATTTTTTTTTAAAGAAGCATGATATTTTTTATAATAATTTACACATAAAGTACACACACACACACACACACATATATATATATATATATATATATATATATATAAACCTTAGATGCGATTAATCACAATTAATAATTTATATTTATAATATATATTTGAGAATGAATATAAATATATATATATATATATATAATGTATGTATGTATGAAAATATATTTATCTGTGTGTATTTATATATACAGAATTTTATTGGTATTATTCTATAAAACTAATGGGGACATGCAATGAGAAAGCAGCATTTCCTAAGAATGACCTGGAGGGAAATTTAAAAAAAAGACATTTACATACTTGACAACACAATCCAAAGCGGAAACAAACACATTTCACCTTCACATTTCAAACAGAGGAGGCTGCATGTTGAATGACTCGTTTTGTGTCTCTGACAGGAAGCTGTTCAGAAATATGTAAAATCATCCAGTGTCTTAATGAACACAGCTGTAGGCAGATGAGCTTTGATTATGTGCTCACAGGGAGCTTTCTGCCTGTAATTTGTTCGGTTATGCTGCTGATGGAACGTCCCGCTGAGAACACCTAGGATATAAGAGGAATCCTCCTGAGTACTACAGCCAGCATGCATGGTAATGCATCTGCAATATTCATATCAAAACTTTCTGTCTTTCAACGTCTCCCTCCTTTTTTAACTTAATACAGGTCTCGGTGGGGCGGCTATAGGATTGGTAGGGTTCACAACCTTAGCAACCGTAACCAGGGATGTTGTTTGCACATCAACAGCAGTGAATTAGTTCTAGTGGTGTGGAGTCACTGCTGCCGAGTGTTGAACTAAATTTACCTTTCAAAGAGCAACAGAGCAGCTGTCCAACACTCCACCAAAATACCCTTCTAAAACTCCTCAATGTCCAAAATATCAGTCAAAGATTGAACTAAATGTCAGTATCTAAAAAAATATAACTAAAGCATAAAACTAGGACCAAATCACCTCTGGCAAAAACAAATGGTGTTTTAAGTTTCTAGATTTATTACCTTCCATCTCAAACTCTAAATTTAACCACCTACAGTATATCACAAACCCCACCAGATCCTGAAATCTCACACTGAATATTGCATCTTCAAAAACTCCTACAATGGTTTCACAGGCACAATTTATTTGCATTAAATTCCCACTATGACTGGAAGTCTCCCAGAAGTTCTAGACCTTTCCAACCGGTCTGACAAGATTTTCTCTTTTATTAAAAAAAAGAAAAGAAATGTATTTGATATTCAAAACGTCCAACAAAAGGTTGAATCAAATTAATGTGTTATCAAACATTGAATTATCAAATTCAGTGAATGTATTATTCGTAATAACTCTGTTTATTATGTAAATCATCAAACGTCATCACAATCCTATGTTTAGATGCGATCTGATTGTCCTGCGCCAAAACCACAAGACAGAAAAAAATATATCATTACATGATACATGTGTATCATCACAGAATGCTAATGCTTATGTAAAAGTACAGTTACGGTTCATATTAAACCGGCCTGTTGTTTTAGAGTGAGTTATGTAGGCCCGAATCCTGCCAGATGCCTGAGTCATTATCACAGAGTCCCACGCAAACAAAACATATACATAAATCATATGAAATTAGTAAGAATGAGTGCACTTTTAGAGGAAGCTAAAGGAAAGGTCAGTCTAAAAAGGTCAAATTTTGAAATGTTCTGATTTAAACAAATGTTATTTGTCTCATTATATCATCATAATACTATTTGGCATAATTTACCTAAAAGAAAAGCAGTCTAATGTATCTATTTTGACTTTAACACTGATATTTTCACACACATGTAGATGAACACACACACACACACACACACACACACACACACATACACATCCTCCCTCTGTCCTTAAAAGTTGCATACCTGCTGGCGTAACAGTAAACCGCTGTTCCCCGCTGTGAGACAGACAGGACAAATGTCAATCTCTCTCTCTCTTCTGTCTTTCCCTTAATGGACTAAAGCGGTCTTGACTTCTGTGGTCCGGTTCTGTTTCTGTTCAACACCTTCTCTCTCTCACTCTTTCTGTCCCTCACTCCAGGCTGTAGAGGAGCAGGGGATTCCGCTCATATCTGGGATTTGTTCACACTATAAATAGTAGTGTGATACACAGAGGGGACCTGCTTTCTGTCCACCCTTACTGTTCACTTCACAGAAGCTATGATCATTCACAGTCCTGTTACTATATACACATGCAGTGGGGTCCAAACATCTGTAAAGTGAGAATCTGGGATTCAAATTGTAAAAAGTTTTGAATAAGAATATTAAAATGAATAAGAAATATTAAGCACTATTTCTATGTCCAATTTTTGACCCTGGTCAAGTGAATCCTTCATACAAATGTTAAGATATTTTTGCTTCCATTTAAACAAGATGATCCTCGGATCATTTTCAAATCATGCTGAAAAACGTGATTATTTATTTATAACATGAATAAAAATTATTAATTTATATTATTAAAAACTTGGCGATTATATTAATAATATTTTATGTATTTATTTTATATACATAAAATGTTTATTTAATATTAATATAAGATTGAAATATGAAATACAGAATCTAATGATTAATAATAATAATAATAATAATAATATAAAATATTAGTTTTTTAATATCTGTCTATCTATCTAACACACACACATAAACATATATACATACATACTTACAATAAACTTATTTCATATTATTTCATATTTATAATACATTTTATATTAGAATTATTTTATTTATTTAGTAGTAATATGAATACATTTGCCTAAAATAAATAATATACTGCATATATCATATATTATGTTATGCAATTATTTATAAAACAAGTTTATTTATATTATTAATAAATTAATTAGTAATTATATATGACAATATATGGAAAAACTAAATATTACTGGTTTATATATATATATATATATATATCCTGTTTTTATATTAATTAAATAAATAAATAAATAAATAAACAGCCTAGACATCTTAGACTTTTTGGACCTAACTCGATGTGCCCACCAGAAACACAGAATTACAACAGCATCGATTTAAAATGTAAACATTTTAAATGGCATTTTTAAATGGCCACCAAGCTTGTGTACGATGCATATTTGCATATATGTATAAATGTGTGCTAAGTGGGTATATTTAGGAGACCTAGATTGAAATGTCCCCAATATGCCTGAACCTAAGAGAGAATGTACAAATTACAGCATTACTAGATCACATAATGAAAATTGAAGAAAACAGAGAGTTCAGAAAGAGTGACTGCTGATAGATGAATAGACTTTGACCTTTGCACGACACAGGACACTGATATCATGACCCCCCTGTGCCCTTACCTGTTCAGCTGCCAGCGTGAGGTCCACACCTCCTCACTGCTTTGTGTTCTACTATGATGGCCAGTCAAAAGCCCTGCCTGTTCTCTGTAAGGTCCTCTCCTGCTCTCTTCCACGCAGTCAGAGAATCACAGTGCGACAATACTTATTAAGATCATGACCTAATTTAGGCTCCAGCATGCAGAGCCCAGGGATACATCTGATTGGCCCACGGTTTGACATGACGACCCATTCCCAGCGGTAGCAGCACTGCCAATTTATGGAGTTTCAGATCTTAAACTAGGCAGATTTTAACCCACAAGCGGACAGGTATAAACAAACGATGGAAGTTGCACATAATTTCACTGGTAAAGTAGATTTCTTAAACAGAACTTGGTGCTATAGCGACATCGAAATCATTGGGTTTGAGTGCACAGACTGGTATAATGTATACTTTGCTTCCACTTGCAACGATAAAAGCATTTGCCAAATGCATAAATGTTAAACGTGATTGAGCCTAATGCACTAAACTAACTATTTGCAAGGCTAAATATCAAACTACAACTATAAAATGGAAAATTAAAGACTGTTAAAGCATCTTCTGTCCTTACCTGGTGCCACTAGTACTTGAAGTGTGATCCTGCTCACTCAGTTCCTTCACTGCTGAGTATAAACCTCTACTGGAGCTCAGAGCTGATGGGGAAGGTGTCCTCTACAGACAGCAGAGCTATGCAAATCCTCACCTGAATTCTCCTCCCTCTACTTGCCATCACAAACTTCCTGCTCATCCTGCCAGTCAGCACATATACTACAGGTCAAACACAAGTATTAAATCCTAGAATCCTTTTTAATGTGCATGTAACATTTACATGCAAAGATCCCATTACAGTGCGACTTGAAAGTGGCTAAGTGCATGGTTGGACAATGCAAATATTGTTGAATTTCATTAACAGGTCATAGAAGGTGAGTGGAATATTAGCAGCATGACACTGTCCTTTCAGTGTCTGTTGTCTATTTTACATTAATCCCTCCTTTTGGGCACATGGCATTATGAAACTAGCGGCATCCTCTCTTATGTATTCATAAAAGGCTGCCATAATTGCTGTCTATCTAGACCACCATCTCAGATATTAAATCATTTCATAATACCTTTAGGAGCCTGAGGGACAGAAAAGATCACTCCCACCCAGAAAGGCTTGGTTCCCGGACGGAAATGTTTGCAGGGACTTATCACACTTTTGAACCTGTCATTTGTTCCCATGTGCTTTACATTCAAAACCGCTGCACTTTTTCACAAGTTTTACTACAACAGTGGCCTTTAGTGGCAAATTGACCACCTTTTTGGTTGACTGCCATCATTTGCTTATAGGTCAACAGTAATACCTGATACGTCTTAATTAAATTGCACATTTAAAAGCAAGTCTTGTGAGTACAAAAACCACAGAGGCCAAATTTGTCCAGCTGGAAACTAAAGTGTACTTCACAGATACGTCTATGGTGCAAATAAGATGTGATCTCTTGCTTCAGCAAATGCAAATGAAAAGCACATGGGGTTTTTTTAGCTGCACTGCAAAACAGAGACATCCGATTTCTGAGCAAATCGCTTTTGTGTGTCAGATCTTTCAATTGAAACACTTAAAACAGGCTCGCAAAACTGGTCTTGTACGAATTCTGACACCCTGCCAGATTCCTGTGTCTGCTTCACTGGTCCCATCCCTAAAGCCCACACTAAATGTACTGGAGACTGGGGAGTCAGAATCTATTCTTGAATCAGACTACTGTAAGCAGTTTGTGCAAGGACTGTCTGAATCATGCAGAGTCAACATCTCACCAACATATTAATTGTACCAAGAATCGACATTGTAATTGACTTTCTACAATTTGTAATGACCTGAGAACTGATGAGTCAGCTGATAGCATGCATTTGGAGTGAAAATGAAGATTTGACTGAAACATTTTATGAGAATTAGTCTATACTACCTCACACGCACATCCCAAAGTGAGCCAAAAATGTCCAAATGAGCCTTTTTTTCTTTGTACAATAGCCTATTACAAATAAAATATACTGGAAATGTACGACTTGTATTGGTACTTTTAGCAACACACATAGCCTATATGAAATTGAATTTAGTATTTGTAATGTGAACATAAATTAGCCTATGTTAAGTTTTGAATTACTTAATGTCTTATTAGCTGAAACATAGCAACAAACTGAACCGAGACACGCAAATTACAACAATGACCCTTATTTAATTAAAATTAAAAACGTCAGAGAACGCGATGAAGACAAATCACTGAATCGTTCTGTTTGAAAGAACCGATTCACGGAAATGATTCGAGCTACGTGCTCGATTGCTCTCTGACTGTGAGCCACTATGTGCGCTGACTAAAGTAAACAGTCTGGCTCGATTAGTTAGACTGCGTTTGGAGTAATTCACGCAAACGCGGAAGCGACGGCTTCCAACGTGTTTTGTACACAGTGGATGTGTGGTGTCGTGCTTGACAATCGGAATCGTACGTTCATTTGTCTCTGGATTTGGACGCTCTTGAGACGCATGCAGCCCGGTGTGCCATGATTCCCATAGCGGTGGTGGTGTGTGTGATGGGCGGGTGGTGTACAGTGTATCTGGCGGACACGCTGCTGCGGGTAGGTGGATCTCACCAATACAACTCTTCATTACTAGAGTTAACAGAGAGTACAGAGGTGTTTGCTGCTTAAGTAATGGAATCGATTGTTATTGATACTTTCTAATTTGTCAAGGACATTAGATGATAAGAGCAGCATGTTGATGTGCAATGGTACAGTGATGTAAAGTAATACGACTGTACAGAATTTGTAGCATGTTTATGTAGCATTTTATACACATTTAGCCTATATGTTCATTTACAAAAACGAGTAAAAATGTTTGGACATTGTACAACGATGGTACTATGTATTTTTTTGGTGCAAAACACGTGCCATGTTTTTCAGGATTATACCGTGAAGCTACCATGGCTCGTAGTATGTACCATTATAATTTTAGTAACATTGCATATCTCAGTATCATAATATTACTATCTGATGTATTACTGTACCATGGTACTGCCATGTTTTTAGTTCAGTTTTTCAGTTGCCACTTTAAAAGTTATTCAGTGTTAATTCTAAATGATTATCATAATACAGTTACTCTCTCACTAATGTAAGATTTTATGCAAATGTATGCTTTTTAAGTAAAAGTGGCTTTAGACATAACTTGGCAACACATGGTAAACAACAGCTGTGGTAAAAACTTTAAATTAGATCATATTTCTATACAGTAGCAACAGTACTGCATTATTTTTTTAGCACAAATTATTGTACCTACCTCATTATAAATCCCTATCGCATCCTAACAACTGTTTTCTCTCTCTCTCTCTCTCTCTGTCTTTCACCTTCACCTTAAGTCATCCAGTTCGGTGAAGAACCGCTATGAATCCTGGTTATCCTCGAATGGATTCACTCTCTCTCCATTCCACATTAAATGGCACACCGGCATCTTCAACCGTCAGTTTGCCAGATGTGCTCATCTCAACCCTCACTTTCTCTACATCTGGTATGATTTACTGTCCTCAAATCAGTTTTTTTGTTTGTTTTTTTGGGCATATTCACATGACAGTGATGCTTATTATGACCTCTTTAACATTTATTGCTGTAATATGCAGAGCTGTCAGTCTTTTGTCCTTGTGATTCTGAATGAAAAAAATCGACATTTTAATATAAACTA